AGAGCAGCCTAGTTCAGCCTGGTTTTCAGCCTGTTTGGTTGGCTGAGGCTAGGGGAGGGAGGGAGGTCAGCGCAGCTCAGAGCAGCCTAGTTCAGCCTGGTTTCTCAGCCTGGTTTCTGTTGCTCTTTGTTGCTCTTTGTTGCTCTGCCAGTCCTTCCAGCCTGTACTGCAGCAGATTTCCGCGCAGCTCAGAGCAGCCTGGTTCAGCTTAGTTCGGCCTGGTTTTTCAGCCTGTTTTCTGTTGCTCTTCGCTCTTTCATTGCTCTTTGTTTTTTCCAGTCCTTCCAGTTTTTTGCAGTTGCTCCACTTGTTCCAAGTTTGTTTCAGTTGTTTCCAAACACTTGCAAACACTTGCTATTACAGATGTGCCAGACACAATAGGCACCAAGAGGATAGCAGAGGATAGTAGGTGGTTGGCTGAGGCTAGGGGAGGGAGGGAGGGAGACTCCACTGGTGCCCCCCGGTGGTTCCCCCCCCCAATACCCGACTGTGGGGCAGGCTAGGTAGGGAAGAGTAGATTGATTATGGGACGCTGGACCCGGTTTCCAGCACATTGGCGTCACTGCAATGATGCGTTGTTTTGCAAAGATGTACTTAAGGGACGCTGGGCCCGGTTTCCAGCAGGTGCTGCTCCCCACCAATAGATGGAGCGGCCCGCTAGGCAAAGCCTCAATCCCGGTAGTTCTCCTACCACCACCAGGATAGAGGTCTTGCACAAGGGCCTTAAAAAAAAAGAAAAAGAAAAAAAGAAAAAAAAAGAGATACAAATGGTCCCCTCCCAATACATCCTTTTTTTTTTTCTTTTCTTTCCGGTTAACAAAAACAATTATCTTGCAAAATCGGTTTGAGGCCGGGAACCTCACAATTCGACCCGCGGAGTTATCCTCGGAGCCTTTGCCCAGTTTAGATTCCGAGCCTTTGCCCGCCTCTGAACATATTCTCGTCGCCGTCTACGTCCGCCAATCTCTCGCAGCGCTGGGACAGGAACGACTCAAAGACCAAAGACTTTTTAAAAGAGAGATATCTCACAGTCAAACCTCGCTAACAAGGAGCAATCAATCATGTTCAGGAGCCCTTTGGGATCGACAGAAGGAAGGATGACTGAATGCCTTGCCTGATTACGATTTGAAGTGGGGTAGAGAAAAAACAGGTCAAACGCTCGTATCGTGAGCCAGACATGTGGAGCCAGGCCGATCTGGGCCCGGAATCAATATGGAACCAGAATTACCAGACCCATGCACACCCTCTGGTCTTTCGACACGAGTTAGTCAGCAGAAATTCGGACAGATTTTATATGCAGGGGAGCGAGTTCGATTGCGCCTCATTCCTTTTCGCCCAGGGGTTTTCAGACATGGCTTAGTCTGCTGAGGTTCCACACATTTGGCGAACAGGAGAGAGAGTGGTGAGTGCAATTGTCTCCTCTTCCTTTTATGGGGGTTGATGTTTCTGGTGAGCTATCTCAGAGCCCGCCCTTAGGAGGTCTTCAAAGTATATCATTCCATAGTCATCTCGGCTTCCAGCTCACACGCTGCCGCTACTAACCGACTGACCATTTGACCAGTGGACGCTGCCACTACTGACCGACTGACCATTTGACCAGTGGACGCCGCCGCTACTAACCGACCGACCATTTGACCAGTGGACGCGGCCGCTACTGACCGACCGACCATTTGACCGGTGGAATTCGACTCCTTCGGCAGCGCGATGTAGTTTGTGTGTTTTAAGCTTTTTGGCTGAGAACAGTACAAATGACGACCTGGCTCAGTTGGTACACCCGCAAACTCTTCAGATGCAGACCCGAGTTCAATGGAATCAGACGAGTGAAAATAACTCTGAATCAATGTACCTTTGCCCCGATCAGTTAAAAACAAGATGACATCACATGGCTGTTGCCCCTTGTTAAGAAACGATTGCCCATCGACATAGTATGATGTGCGCGTGCTCATGTTTGGCACATGAGAGCATGAACCCTGTTGAGAAGAACAGAGGAGAAGAAAGAGTTGGTTCAACTTGTTGCCCTTTCAAAAATGCCAAATTTTTGGTAGATTGTGTGTTCAAATAAAGATGGAAGAAATAAGCAAGGGCCCAGGGAACCTCAGTTCCATCCCAGTCCCAGTGTTTTTTATGTCGACTTCCCACTTTCAACTTCAGAAGCTTAAGCTCTGAAAATAGGGAACAAGCAGACTGAAGATCAGCAGAGGCTTCTGTATCACCCATCTAAAAACAGTTACCCCGTCCATAGTACGGGCATGACGATACTGCTCTCGGGTTTCCATGTCCCATCTGACAACCATCGTTCTTCAATAGAAGAGTCATATCCACATCTTTAGACCTTAGAGCTCGGCGGTTTTGGCGGGGTGCCCAACTTGTGCCCGTACACACACACGGGTGCCTGGCCAGGCATGAAGAGTCGAATCCTCGTCCTCAGACTTAGGAGCTAGGCTGTTTTGGCAGGCGCCCAGGCACCCAACTTGTCCCCGAACACACGCCCAGGTGTCCAACCGGGCATGAACCCCAGGCAGGGTTCCGGACCCCCAACTTATGCACACACACCCAGGTGCCTTTTCGCCCCTCGAAAAGCAATGTATACCCCCCCTTTCCCCCCC